ATGCCTTCTTCAACCGACAGCCACTTATTACGCCATTATCGCGTTTGAACTGATCGAGGGACACATGCATGTCTTCGCCATAGTGGTCATAGGTGTCCTCGAGGCCCTTTTCTGAAGGTTTCCTTAAATTCGAACCTGACATTTAGAATAAATGTAACACAAATATAAAATGCAAATGTGACGGTATCATCACAAGAACAAGCGAGTACTCGGGATCAGATGTTGTACCTGAAAGCCCGGTAAGGGTTTCAGTAACAGCTCGTTGACTTCCGACACAAGATGACCTCTTCCAATAAGCGGAAGGAGTATCCGCCTCAACGTTTTCACGGTGTTGTTGCCTCACAATCTTTTAGGGATGCTTGGATTTATGTTGTACAAAGCAGTTGTTTGTTGCCCTGGGTAGCAGCGCATCCTAGACATCACCATCATCCCTCTCCGCCTTAAGGACTGATGAACAGATTTTCGCCTCCTTGGACGCTTGAGCAAGGTCCAATTTAGAGCACTTAATAACAGATATGAGCAGTTCAGTCACGGTTAATGGCATCGCATCGAATCCAACACAAAATTTTTAGGAAACTATAGCTTGGCTTTTCGGTTGTTTCTTGAACGAGTCGTGGCCCTGTCGTTCTTTCATTGCCGATGGTAAGATAATCATTTGTGATCGATGTTTTGACCATTATAAGCCTGAAAATCTAGCTTGTTATCTGCTCGCTATTTTCCCGCCTTTTCTCTAAATATATAAATCAAGATTCGTTCAGACCAACGAATCACGTCGCTCTCCTGGAAACCGACACTCGGAGTGGGAAAAAAGCAGTCCCTCATTTGTATGAATTGGGCCAAACTGTTTCTTTTTAAAACAATAATTTTTGTTTTGCTTTTTGTTATTTTTCACTTTTTTCTTTCATATTTTACTTTCGACTTTTAAGTACGCATGTGCGTACCGTGCGTACAGGTAGCTACGCCCCTGCTGGGAAGAGGTAGTTATGAGGTGCGAGTAAATGTCATCAGTGACTTTTAGTTCTATAGACCTGAGGTGAAGGGTTTCCTGAGATAAAGAGTTTGAATCATTATTGAAATGACTATAGACAACTTTGTCATACAAGCAAGTGACTTAAGTTTGACACTTCACCTTTTTAACTTTCGTTAAATTACCGGTTATCAAAAACCATAAAACCTCCTCAAGAATTGAAAAAACGAAAAAGAAAAACACACACACACAAAAATGCAAACTTAAAACGCCAACATCAATCTTGAAAGTCTTGTTTTCCGTAGTAAAGTTTTGTGATTTCTACTCATCTAGTGCATGTGTGTAGCTCATATCACGTATTCAGCACTTCTGAGTATTTTTTTTGCAATCGATATATATTCTACAAGATTGTAATTTACCACACGGGTAGTGTGCGATGTTTTTATTACTTATCAAGAACAAGTCTCTGTAAGAATCAAACATCTTGGAAAATGAAAATTTTCAACCCCCCCTTTAAATTTTGCATCCAATTAGGGACTCAGGGGGGGTGTGCACAAAAATGCCCTTTTTAAAGGTTACAGCAGTCCTGCTGCCATGGTATCAACGGCTGCTTGTTCAAGGCATGGGGCCTCATTTTCATGCAAAAACATCTCAAAAAAGAGTAAAACACACCTAACGTTCTCAACGACGAACGTCTCAGACAAATGAAACGCGCATGGCTTGAAAAGACGAGAAATGGACATTTTTCGATATCTCAGCAGATCTCTGCGCATACTGAAGTAAAAACAACCAAAAGCAATGGAAAAGATGAGGAAAACTTTGATTGGACGCTCGTAAACGCTGAGAATCTTAGAGCATAAATCGAAACTTGTCAGCGGTAGTAACATGTAAAACCCCGTTGCAACATTAGCAATTTGTACGACTCGCCCGAAAACAATCATAAAGTGGAGATTTTGAACAACTCAGTATTCCCTCAGTACAGCAAATGGAACAGAACTCAAACAAGCAGCCGTTGTTCCCATGGCAACAAGAGTGCTGCAACCTTTAACACGGTATTTTTCTGCATCCCCGAGTGCCTACCTGCCTGCAAAATTTGAAGTGAAGTTGAAAATTTTCATTTCCCAAGATGTTTGATTCTTAGACAACTAAACGCCGAGCACGTTTATTGAATACTGCGTTACAATTTGCTCTCTCCTTATGTGCGTGTACATTTACTACATGTACATAGATTTAAATTTTCCAAGTTCAGTAGTGTCAGTTCCAACAGGTACTCGTAAAATTTTATCTTCGTTTGTTTGATTTTCTTTATTGTGGGTGTGTCTGCTTTCAAAGTTTTGTTTATTTTCGTCATTTTGATGACTGTCTCTGTTGTCTGAACGGCTGAATGATCAATAAGATGTGTCATCATCCACTCACTCCGTACAGAGCTTTGGTGTAGAAAAGTAGCACCGATATTCTTTAGATATGACACATTGGATGAATATTTTTATGTACAGTTATATAGTAGCACAACAAGGGTTGCAAAGAAAGTCACCAAAACAGCGTAAAAACGGCCGTAAATGATAAAGCGACACGTTATTTTCTTCGCTTTATCATTCTTTTTAATCTATCTCTCTTTTAACGGCCCACACTTGCGCTTAAAATTAAAATGTTACGGTACTCCTGTTAATTAATGACCTTTAGACCCCAAAATTAGACACTGTACGATTGGGATGCCTGTGGCAGCACCAACCTTGGTAAATTCTACGTAGAATCGCATAGCTTACAGTAAACACGCGCTCTGATTGGTCAATACGTCAACCGGAAGAGAGGGTATTTAGCGTGGAATCGCACTAACGCATAAAGCGATATCGCTGACGTGAGTCGCGAGCAAAAATTATTGTTACGAACGTAAAAACGTAAATACAACTAGTGCTACGAAA